GCTTCGTCAAAATGTCACACAAGTTGTAACGTGACCAATTACCCGGGAGGGGGGTACTCCTTTATATGGGCTATATAGGTATCTGCACGTGAGGCCCCAAAGGGTAGGGTTTTTCAGCCGTTTGGGTCATATAGAATAGGGTATCGATTTTGGCCATTTTGGTTATAAATTGGGTATGGTTTTAGCCCTCTAGTCTTGAATTGGGTATGTTTCTAAGCAGAAGCTACTTTTTCATCCTGACTAGCCTCGCTTTCATGTGGCTCGTTCCGGGCGCCGACCGAGTGGTCCGCCATATTTAGGTGTATAGCAAACATTTTTCACCCAACCATTCACGAGGAGGCGAGGTGGCCCAATGATTAGCACACTACTCCAGATCTAGCGGTCCGTTTAGAGCCCTTGGGGCTGGGTTTATTGCGTTGTGCTCTTGCAAGACACTTACTCTCACTTTGCCTCGTTCCACCCAGATGTAGGGTGCCGGAGAATTCATTGCTGGAAGTAATATTTTGATGGACTAGCAGAATATTAGAAATACTCCCAGTCACCCAAATAAGCTCCGACATTATGGACCCGACTTCGCCAGACACAGACTTTGCCATTCAAACATCTGTTCATGTGTTGGTATTAGATATCGAGATCCTCCATGCCAGCTAGCGCTCGTGCAGCCCCCCATTGAATAATAATACGACGGCTTGTAGCGTAAAGTAATATCTAAAAAGCGCTAATAGTGTCACCGAGTTTATCTTTTTAAAATAAAATTCAGCCCGGAGAGCTAATGGAATTGTCACGGTACTAAAAATAAAAATAACAACTTGAAAATAAACAACTGTAGTTTGATGTTAGCTGTATTTGCTCTGTTTACATGAATCCATTTTGATGACATAAAAAGCGGATGCCGGAGAGGGTGTATTTTTTCCCATCCAGCCCGCTCATGGCGGACGAAATCTTCGTGTTGATCTATTTTTGCGAAAGAATTAGCGGTAATCGGCAATCGTTTACCTTTTTCACACTTCCATCGACGATTAATCAACAAGTTTATTTCTTTTCAGGTTTAAATTGCAAGGAAAGTCACTGTAATCACTGGTAATTATATTCAAATGAAAGTTTTGAAGTTGTGAGAGTTTGTTTGGTTGTTTGAAGCCCGGCGCTGTAATGGTGCGTAATACTGTGTTGCTCTCTCTGCACAACTTTGAGTAAAAAATGGGTAAGTCGAGTTTACCTCTCTGATCGTTGCTGTACAATGCATTTAAAAGCATTTCTGTGGCATACACTTAACGAATTTCCCCACTTTCTGCTATTCAATTTATGGTAGAAGAATCTGATTTCAAGCGATTTGCAACGACTGAGAGATTGTTTTGTAGTACAATTTCAAACTTTGCACATAATTTCGCAACGGAACAATAATATTGGAGAGCTTAATTGATGACCTCGGGCCGTATTCAAGACCTCGGGTACAGTTTTTTTTTTTCCAATACCGACGTCCAAGCTGGCAAATAATATATATATATATATGTCCTACAAAACCGTAAAAAGGTACGCGACCACACCAAATAGCATTATGGGTAACGTTAGTCTCCAATAGTTGATCGACGTTCTCGGTGTTTTAGCCTGATAGAAGGTAAAATTAAAAAAAATAAATAAATAATAAAAATCGCACTTGTGTTTTTAGTTTCTCCTTCCTTCGCCGCTGAAACACCTTTAAACTTCTATTAAAAAAAGGCACCACCTTTACCCCTGATATCTTTCGGAATTGACGCGTAAGTCTTTGTACTTCCGCAGAACAACCTTGGTAGGAACAGCATTATATATAGTACGTATAGGCTACATACGAATGTCACTGAATCAAGATGTATCCAATGGCTTTAATGTGCTTGTCTCCATTATCTGGTCCGAACGATGCTTCATTGCCACACGTGTTGGCGTCAACTGGGTGACCTCCAGTACCAAACCCGATTCTAGAATCACAAGAGGAACAATCATTTTGATTGTTACTTATCCAACCGATTCTTGCTTTAGAATGTTCGGGGTCGCTGCCGACTGCGTTAAACCCTTCCATATTACAATAGCTTTGCAAGGATGCTTCCGAACCAATAAGTGCTTTCCAAGTGTCACGACCTAGTGAGGTGGCATGGTACTGCCCGTCAGCAATCAGAGAGTACAAAGAGTTGGCATGCTTGTTGATAACAATGAACTTGNCCGAACCAATAAGTGCTTTCCAAGTGTCACGACCTAGTGAGGTGGCATGGTACTGCCCGTCAGCAATCAGAGAGTACAAAGAGTTGGCATGCTTGTTGATAACAATGAACTTGATTTGCTGGCCGATTTTCATGCCAAGACAGATCTTGGAGAAGGATGTATTCCAGTAGGTCGGTGTCTTGGTTTCTTGTAAGTCAAAACCCGTCTGTCCTCCTGCAGGGTTGAAGGTGTCCTGGTTGCTCCAGAGGATGGAGTCGTAGTGGAAATTCATCTATGCACAAAAGTAATAATAAAATACTTGTAAATAATATAATATAAACTTACACCTGTACATGCCCTCTCATAGTCCCACATGTATAATGGTATCACACCCAGGAGAAGGGTTCACGCTGCTGTAAAATTGTTTGACCCGATTGTCCTTTTGCAAGATTGCCGGAGGCCAAATGCCTCATGTCATTACCTCCTAGTCCTTCATCTGGTACCTGCTATGTTGAATTTCACTATTTTCTTGATGTAAACAAGATCGACATACAAACATTATTTCAGAAAGATAATGGGAACTGAAACGAAGTAACACTACAAAGCCAATGTTCTTCATCTGACCAAATTGTCAGATACCGCCCGAGCTTTTCTCGGTTTCCGTAAAAATAAACGAACTAGGAATATCTCTAATATCCACTATATAGGAGGAAAGTCCATTGTGGTCTAGGGTTAATTCTTAGCATTAATCTTGTTGCCATTAATTTATACCGTTTTTTTTTTTTGACTTGGATACAATATAATACTTCCCCAGCCCCCCTCCCCTCCAAAAGTGCCCATACTATGGTTGATGGGGCGGGGGGG